TAGAAGTACGGGTGACAAACGAGTACACTGTCCACCTAATCGTAAGAGAATGTTGAAGCCCCCTTGGTAGAGAGTAATCGTGTTCTGTTTTGTGCCCATAGACCTACGTTTATCATCGACTAAAATACAGACGTGTTGTCAGCCTTGAGATCTCATAAATTCATAAATTCATAATCTTTATTGCAATCAAATGGTAACAATAAGTGTGTTTTAAAAAATAGTCCGCATTTGAACCCGGTTTGGGCGTAGCAATTATAAAATATTAAATTACATTATTGAGTACTATTATTAAATTACATTATTAGATTTCATTATTAAGTTACATTTTTAAAAATAGATATACAATATTAGATAAATTATTGAACATTCCATAAATTCAATTCAATTAATAATCACATTGTCAAGTCAAAGAAAGAACAATGATAATAATAATTATAATGACAATAATTGAAAAAGAAAATTAAATATAATAAAATTATATAGAAAATCAAATTAAATAATATTTGTATCAAAATATTCATTTAAATTATAGAAATATTTTTAAATTATATATAACTTTAATTTTGATAAAATTATGTAGTATCCGTTAGACTTTTATTAACTCTGTCACTCGGCAAAAAATTCATCGATCGAATAAAATGAATGCTCAATAAGAAAGTGAAACAATTTATTTTTGAAAATCTGTATATCGTTACACTCTTTGATGTCAGAAGGAATATCTCTAGTAGAAAGGGTTCATTATACGAAACCGTACGAAACACAACAATGTGCTGTTTTCCACGCTAGGATCTATTATGTGCAAACATGGTCCTTCCCCATTGGAGACGACCCGTTATTCCTGCAGCAACCACACGTTCTACAGTGTTTGAAAAATGGCAACGGACTTGCAATTCCTCTAGTTCATAGGCGACGGTGATTACCTCCTGTTTCACCATACGAGTATGCTTGTTTGTTCTCTCGCTAAGAAAAAATATTTTATTTATTTATTAATTAATAAATAAATTGCACTTAGCTTTTATTTCACACAACATTGATTACACAACTCGGCAGGAAATAAACGCCTCGGGACGCCAAGGCCGACAAATATAAATATGTCTAGTGTACATACTAGCACTTTTATAATTATTATTTCCTATAAAAGACAAAAAAATATATATTTTCAAATTACACCTATGAAATTGTTTTTTTTGTTATAGGATAAGGGTGATTAGCGGGCACACAGTCCACCTGATGATAAGTGGTTGCTATGGCCCATAGACATATACATCTATCCTCGTTTGCGAATCAACGTGCAGATGCGTTGTCGGCCGTGAGGACTAAGATGAAATGCCTCTTTTTCAGTAAAAAGCGTATCCGATTCTCTACACTCACCATACGAAACACAGCATCTTTAAGCTGCTATTTTACGCCGATATTCTGAGAGAGCGTGGTCCTTCTCCGTTCGAGCCATTGAGTTATAATGTACTACGTACGTACATTATAACTCAATGGTTCGAGCCGACCCATTCGTGCTACAGCTATACAATTAATATAGCTGCAGCATGGCTCTACCATGTTTAAATAAATATTAAAAGTAAATACTAATTAGTAAGGTGTGAGTACTGCTAATTACTGACATGTGCACGCTGTACAAACTTTCGCTATATTGTGTTTCTCTTCCATTTTTGATTACGAGTAAAGTATTAAGATAAACAAAATATGCCCGGGTGCAAAGACACCAATATTGATGTTATCTATACAAATAAATAAAATTGGAGTGTCTGTTATAAAATACGAGAAATACGACAAAATATTAAATGTGACAAAATAATTTCTTTTTCGCAATATGACGCCGCGCCGGTGGTAAATCACTTAATTCCTGCGGGAATTGCTCGTTTTAAACACCGGCCAAGGACCTTTCCTAATAAAATCCAAGGCTCCGACTCCCAAGGCCCTTTAACCAAGGATATATTTTGTAAAATTCAACTAATCGAGGTAATCATATTTTCTGTCTTTCAATAATGCATACTATAAAAATATTTTCATCTCAAATTGCCTACAATATGATATGATAAAAAAATTGGTCCAGATAAGGAAACATCGTTGCATCAGCGCTAAAAGAAAAGCCGCGCCGATATCTTGGCTATTTGCCAACTTAGTTCAGCTAATCACCGATGCGCTATCGCCATAGATTACTATGGCTATCGCTAACGAGAATTTTTCTATCCCTTTCATGGTGCTAAATGCATGTTTTATTTTTGGCTCTATATAATATTTGTTGTTTTTATTTGTTTCTAATGAATACGAAGACAGTAATGTTTTTTAATAAACTAGAAGTAATGATATCAAAAATTTAAGTTAACTACAAATTCAATGAAAATCCGTTTTCTTACGGGAACAATTTTGATTTCTTTTTCAATTATAGTCAATCTTGCCTGGTTCATTTTGGAAACACGAATCTGCTTGTGCAATAAGTTAATTTTTTTTAATTAATTCCTGGTATTTAGTGAATATTTGTGATGCTCACGAGTTAGTGAAAATAAGCTACTTTTTGATTTATCGATGCCAAAACAAATGAACTCCAAAAGAGAGCTTACCTACCCCCAAATGCATGTATTTGTTATGCTTAAAGAAAATTTCAGAAAACTTAATAATATTTATTAGTATTAGATGTAATAGAAAATGTAAAAACAAATGAGCACGTTTTAATAAATAACTTTATTAAAAAAAAACTACTTTACTTGTTTCACAGCAATGAAGAAACCAAGAGATAAAAGCCTTATAAATATGCTATACATCCACATTTTCTACAAAGTCCGTCCTTTCAAAGCTTTCAGGGAAACGACCGACATGTTTTTTTTTATGTCCTCTCATTTTCAACCTCGGTGATTGCCATTAATGCGGGCTGTGAGCTGTCTAATAACATTCTAAAATGGAACGTAGGGCTCTTGTTTTTTACTCATTTTATTTTCTAACTTCAACGCTTCCTAAATTTTTTAGGAAGCGTTAGTAAATTACCCATTTTTATACGTGGTAGAGCCATGCTGCAGCTATATTAGTAGTAGTTGTAGCACGAATGGTTTGGCTCGACCGGAGAAGGACCACGCTCTCACATAATACCAGCGTAAAATAGCAGCTTCACATTGCTGTTTCGTATGGTAAGTGTAGAGAACCGGAGACCTCTTTTACTGGAAAAGAGGCATTCGATCTTAGTCCTCACGGGTGACAACGCATCTGCATTTTTAGGATAGATGTAGATGTCTATGGGTCACAGCAACCACTTACCATCAGCCGGGCTAGCATGGGCAGAAGACAATTTTTTCCCCGGGGAAAGGAGAAAATGTTTATCCCCTCGCTTAGTTTTGTATCCACCCTTCGAACATGGGCACACCGGTGGATATAATATCCATAGTAGATAAAATGGGACATAGACTTAGACTTAGATAGATTTTTTGTATGAATTTTATATTAAACCCACGTCTAATGAACTAGGATAAAATTGGCCCTTTCAAATGTCAATAAAAAGCATTATCATTCATTTGGCTCCATGCTACGGACGGGGGATATATGTCTACTCGTTATGTCAAACGGGGATATACTTCTCCCCGTTGCCGTGCTTTGGCATAAGGACAAGATAATTTTATCCCTTGTCAGTGGATATAATCGGTGGAAAATTTTTTTGTCTCCAGCCGTTGCTAGCCGTGCATGAGAACTGTGTGCTCGTTTGTCACCCTATCCTATAAACTACACTTTCATAAATAAGGTTAAGGTGTGGGATAGAGTATACATGTGCAAGCCATGGGTTATTTTATATTTCAAGGGTGCGGCCCTTTAAAGACATAAGTAAGAATATCCACTACCCCATATCATCCCGTGGATGTCGTAAGAGGCCACAGAGGAGAAACAAATCAGGAGATGGGCAGCAGCGTCTTGCTAATAACGACTAAAAATAAAAATAAACTGCGGTTGCCAACCAGCAAATATGAGACAGTCTATGAGGGAGGCCTATGCTTAGTAAGTCCACTGACTTTAATAGGCTGCAACGGATGTGTACCGGGTTAGAATTAAACATTTAGTATTAGTAATTTTATGCAGTTTATGATATACCCAGACTGCGACGAGCAGCTACGTCAAAGGTGCTACTGTGATCGTCAATCTAATTTAACCGGAAACCTTTTTTACTGGAAACAAGGCATTCCATCTTAGTCCTCACGGGTGACGACGCATCTGCATTTTGATTCATAGTCGAGGATAGATGTAGATGTGTATGGGCCACAGCAAACACTTACCATCAGGTGGACTGTGTGCTCGTTTGTCACCTTTATCCTATAAAAAAATCCCACGATTAGGCAAATCCTTTCTATAACGGGAGAGGCTCAAGTCCAGCAATTTTTAGGGCCTGATGATGATGACAAAAAAATATATAAAAGCGTAGCAGATTTCTTATTTATAAGTGGTAATATAAAGTCCACCGGTATAAGTGTTAAATACTGAACTATTTAACAACTAACTTAATAGAATCTGGCGTTACTTTGCGGAAATCCATTATATTAAATTTGGTAAAAATTACGCTCGATAAAATAAAATGATGTTAGTAAAACAACGACGACACTCCTCATTAAGCCAAAAGTTCTGAACTTTAGAAATAGCAATATTTGCCGCTTGAACTAACTAACTATTGCAAGCAAGGTTATATAATATTTAGTTAGCTAATAAATATATTTTTGTTCAATCTTTTTTATTCAAAAAGAATCCATTGATGCGTAATTCCTTTCTTTGGTGTTTCAAATCAAAATCAGCCTACTAACTTTCAGCCCCATCACAAGTTCACTGCTATACAGAAGCTAGGTATGCCACAAAACACGGTTCCGAACCACTACATCCATCGACTTTCTATATCTTATACCAGGTCGTCCCTCCGTCTTAAGATTACCAGGCGGCCCGCTGGCCGCCGACACTTCACCTACCGCTGTTTAAACTTACGTTAGTTTTATTACAATTGGCTAATATTCCTTTTGCAGGACACAAGAAGGAGAGGGAGGGGACAAAAACACAACAGACACGGTTGCCAGAGTGCCGCCACACTGTCACATCACAATCAAATGCACTAGAGAGGTTTGAGAATTGCAGATACCTATGTAATCATTATAAGTTCATTCATTCATTACAGCCCCTCATAAAATTTTAGTTAAAGTTACAGCCTATGTACATCCCACACAGTGGTGTGCTGGGCACAGGTCTCCTCTCATGTCTGAGAGGGTTTTAGGGCAAGGCAATGCCCGCCGCGCTGCCCCAATGCGTGTTGGCGAACTTCACATGTCTTCGAAATATATTTTTTCTTATTTCTCAGACATGCAGGTTTCCTCACGATGGTTTTCGTTTACGTTTCACGAGTGGTAAATCAGCACTTAAAATTGCATCTTTCATCTTTTTTATATAGAATAAGGGTGACAAACGAGCACACAGTCCAACTGATAGTAAGTGGTTGCTGTAACCCATTGAAATCTAAATCTATCCTCGATTACGAATCAAAATGCAGATGCGTTGTCACCCGTGAGGACTAAATGTAATGCCTCGTTTCCAATAAAAAGGGGTCTCCGGTTCTCTACACTCACCATACGACAAACAGCACCTTTAAGCTGCTATTTTACGCTGGTATTCTGAGAGCGTGGTTCTTCCTCAGTCGTGCCGACCCGTTCGTGCTACAACTACAACTATACCACTAATATACCTGCACCATGGCTCTACCATGTATAAAAATCTTCCAATAATCCGTGCCACACATGTGCCTTACCCAGTGTAGTAAGGATTCCCCTTAATCGCCACACTTATCCAGGCAATGAGGTGTTCGCAGAACCACACGTTTGGCACCTTTAACACTACTGCCTGTCGCCGGTCTGGACATTTTACGTCTGGCGTATACGAGATGATTATACTGCAATCGGTATATCGGAAACTATAACATCTTTCTGGAATTCCCATACTCGCGTCTTACATCACCCACGAGATGAAATGGAATTATGTATCCACTTACGCCGTCACCTCACAGCATGCAGCATATATATCTGTAAGCTATAAGGGCCGTGTATTATGTAGTAATCACGTTTCAGCTCTATTATGTCTGCAGAACGAATTGCTCGGCTCGACCGGGGAAAGACCACGCTCGCACAGAACACGTAAAATAGCATCATAATGCTAATGTTTAGTATAGTCAGTGACGTGACCTGGAATTTCATCGTAGTCTTTTGGACTTTCCAGATCGCAGGATTCAATGGTCTATCGGAAGCGGTGCGTCGGTTGGATTTCTCTTCGGCGGTGCGAGATGTGCGCAGGTTCAACTACATCTGCGCCCTGCTGGAGCTGCTGCTGGGCGGGCAGCGACTGACGCACCTGCCCGGTGCAGCGCAGAAGTTGCTCCTCTCTATGCTGGAACAGCTCGCTGATCACGGTAGGTTTTTTATCTGTTATAAATTAGTACTTGAATACCATCCAACCTAATGATAGAGATGTGACACTAAATATCAGATTAGATGTTCTATATGCTGTCAAATTCCATACTTCATTCTAGTTTTACCCTGAGACTAATTAAAAGCTACTTTTAGACGGAATTGGTTTCAGCAGTACTATCATTTTTTTTAGAGAAATAATAGAAAGTGCGGATTTAATAATGCTAATAGGCATTTTTGCAATTCATGAGAGTATTTGACGTAAGTTAAGCAATAAAAAAAATTATAATCTCAATTCTCGTCCAAATGTATTAAACTATGTCATTTTATATTTATTATGAATACTAATTGATACTTGCTACAAACTGAAATGCACTCACACACACACGCATGCACGCACGCACGCACGGCCGCTTGGTCCCAAGCGCGCGCGTGCGCGCATGCACACGCAATATGCACACACATTAAGGTTATTAGATTTTATTATTCAATTTTAGAAAGTTCTTTTAGTTTCAAAGATCAAAATTTGCTGATAATGCGAAAAAGCGGAGCCTCTTGAACTAAATACAACTGTCATTATTATAGAAATAATTACTTTTTGTTATACTTATTGTTGGTTATTGCGTGATGGGTGCAGTGGCGACGTCGAAGCAGAACCCGAACGCGCTGCGCGCGCTGGTGGGCGGGCTGGCCGCGCTGCGCGAGGCGGAGCGGCGCGCGTGCTGGGGCCGCCCGCTCGGCTCGCGCGCGCTCTGGCGCCACCACGACCGCGCCATCGCGCGCATCACGCGCACCGCGCAGGCCGTGCGCATGCACGAGGTACGCACGCTGCCACAGCTGCCACCGCCCGCTCGGCTCGCGCGCGCTCTGGCGCCACCACGACCGCGCCATCGCGCGCATCACGCGCACTGCGCAGGCCGTGCGCATGCACGAGGTACGCACGCTGCCACAGCTGCCACCGCCCGCTCGGCTCGCGCGCGCTCTGGCGCCACCACGACCGCGCCATCGCGCGCATCACGCGCACCGCGCAGGCCGTGCGCATGCACGAGGTACGCACGCTGCCACAGCTGCCACCGCCCGCTCGGCTCGCGCGCGCTCTGGCGCCACCACGACCGCGCCATCGCGCGCATCACGCGCACTGCGCAGGCCGTGCGCATGCACGAGGTACGCACGCTGCCACAGCTGCCACCGCCCGCTCGGCTCGCGCGCGCTCTGGCGCCACCACGACCGCGCCATCGCGCGCATCACGCGCACCGCGCAGGCCGTGCGCATGCACGAGGTACGCACGCTGCCACAGCTGCCACCGCCCGCTCGGCTCGCGCGCGCTCTGGCGCCACCACGACCGCGCCATCGCGCGCATCACGCGCACTGCGCAGGCCGTGCGCATGCACGAGGTACGCACGCTGCCACAGCTGCCACCGCCCGCTCGGCTCGCGCGCGCTCTGGCGCCACCACGACCGCGCCATCGCGCGCATCACGCGCACCGCGCAGGCCGTGCGCATGCACGAGGTACGCACGCTGCCACAGCTGCCACCGCCCGCTCGGCTCGCGCGCGCTCTGGCGCCACCACGACCGCGCCATCGCGCGCATCACGCGCACTGCGCAGGCCGTGCGCATGCACGAGGTACGCACGCTGCCACAGCTGCCACCGCCCGCTCGGCTCGCGCGCGCTCTGGCGCCACCACGACCGCGCCATCGCGCGCATCACGCGCACCGCGCAGGCCGTGCGCATGCACGAGGTACGCACGCTGCCACAGCTGCCACCGCCCGCTCGGCTCGCGCGCGCTCTGGCGCCACCACGACCGCGCCATCGCGCGCATCACGCGCACTGCGCAGGCCGTGCGCATGCACGAGGTACGCACGCTGCCACAGCTGCCACCGCCCGCTCGGCTCGCGCGCGCTCTGGCGCCACCACGACCGCGCCATCGCGCGCATCACGCGCACCGCGCAGGCCGTGCGCATGCACGAGGTACGCACGCTGCCACAGCTGCCACCGCCCGCTCGGCTCGCGCGCGCTCTGGCGCCACCACGACCGCGCCATCGCGCGCATCACGCGCACCGCGCAGGCCGTGCGCATGCACGAGGTACGCACGCTGCCACAGCTGCCACCGCCCGCTCGGCTCGCGCGCGCTCTGGCGCCACCACGACCGCGCCATCGCGCGCATCACGCGCACCGCGCAGGCCGTGCGCATGCACGAGGTACGCACGCTGCCACAGCTGCCACCGCCCGCTCGGCTCGCGCGCGCTCTGGCGCCACCACGACCGCGCCATCGCGCGCATCACGCGCACCGCGCAGGCCGTGCGCATGCACGAGGTACGCACGCTGCCACAGCTGCCACCGCCCGCTCGGCTCGCGCGCGCTCTGGCGCCACCACGACCGCGCCATCGCGCGCATCACGCGCACCGCGCAGGCCGTGCGCATGCACGAGGTACGCACGCTGCCACAGCTGCCACCGCCCGCTCGGCTCGCGCGCGCTCTGGCGCCACCACGACCGCGCCATCGCGCGCATCACGCGCACCGCGCAGGCCGTGCGCATGCACGAGGTACGCACGCTGCCACAGCTGCCACCGCCCGCTCGGCTCGCGCGCGCTCTAGCGCCACCACGACCGCGCCATCGCGCGCATCACGCGCACCGCGCAGGCCGTGCGCATGCACGAGGTACGCACGCTGCCACAGCTGCCACCGCACCCTCGGCTCGCGCGCGCTCTGGCGCCACCACGACCGCGCCATCGCGCGCATCACGCGCACCGCGCAGGCCGTGCGCATGCACGAGGTACGCACGCTGCCACAGCTGCCACCGCCCGCTCGGCTCGCGCGCGCTCTGGCGCCACCACGACCGCGCCATCGCGCGCATCACGCGCACCGCGCAGGCCGTGCGCATGCACGAGGTACGCACGCTGCCACAGCTGCCACCGCCCGCTCGGCTCGCGCGCGCTCTGGCGCCACCACGACCGCGCCATCGCGCGCATCACGCGCACCACGCAGGCCGTGCGCATGCACGAGGTACGCACGCTGCCACAGCTGCCACCGCCCGCTCGGCTCGCGCGCGCTCTGGCGCCACCACGACCGCGCCATCGCGCGCATCACGCGCACCGCGCAGGCCGTGCGCATGCACGAGGTACGCACGCTGCCACAGCTGCCACCGCCCGCTCGGCTCGCGCGCGCTCTGGCGCCACCACGACCGCGCCATCGCGCGCATCACGCGCACCGCGCAGGCCGTGCGCATGCACGAGGTACGCACGCTGCCACAGCTGCCACCGCCCGCTCGGCTCGCGCGCGCTCTGGCGCCACCACGACCGCGCCATCGCGCGCATCACGCGCACCGCGCAGGCCGTGCGCATGCACGAGGTACGCACGCTGCCACAGCTGCCACCGCCCGCTCGGCTCGCGCGCGCTCTGGCGCCACCACGACCGCGCCATCGCGCGCATCACGCGCACCGCGCAGGCCGTGCGCATGCACGAGGTACGCACGCTGCCACAGCTGCCACCGCCCGCTCGGCTCGCGCGCGCTCTGGCGCCACCACGACCGCGCCATCGCGCGCATCACGCGCACCGCGCAGGCCGTGCGCATGCACGAGGTACGCACGCTGCCACAGCTGCCACCGCCCGCTCGGCTCGCGCGCGCTCTGGCGCCACCACGACCGCGCCATCGCGCGCATCACGCGCACCGCGCAGGCCGTGCGCATGCACGAGGTACGCACGCTGCCACAGCTGCCACCGCCCGCTCGGCTCGCGCGCGCTCTGGCGCCACCACGACCGCGCCATCGCGCGCATCACGCGCACCACGCAGGCCGTGCGCATGCACGAGGTACGCACGCTGCCACAGCTGCCACCGCCCGCTCGGCTCGCGCGCGCTCTGGCGCCACCACGACCGCGCCATCGCGCGCATCACGCGCACCGCGCAGGCCGTGCGCATGCACGAGGTACGCACGCTGCCACAGCTGCCACCGCCCGCTCGGCTCGCGCGCGCTCTGGCGCCACCACGACCGCGCCATCGCGCGCATCACGCGCACCGCGCAGGCCGTGCGCATGCACGAGGTACGCACGCTGCCACAGCTGCCACCGCCCGCTCGGCTCGCGCGCGCTCTGGCGCCACCACGACCGCGCCATCGCGCGCATCACGCGCACCGCGCAGGCCGTGCGCATGCACGAGGTACGCACGCTGCCACAGCTGCCACCGCCCGCTCGGCTCGCGCGCGCTCTGGCGCCACCACGACCGCGCCATCGCGCGCATCACGCGCACCGCGCAGGCCGTGCGCATGCACGAGGTACGCACGCTGCCACAGCTGCCACCGCCCGCTCGGCTCGCGCGCGCTCTGGCGCCACCACGACCGCGCCATCACGCGCACCGCGCAGGCCGTGCGCATGCACGAGGTACGCACGCTGCCACAGCTGCCACCGCCCGCTCGGCTCGCGCGCGCTCTGGCGCCACCACGACCGCGCCATCGCGCGCATCACGCGCACCGCGCAGGCCGTGCGCATGCACGAGGTACGCACGCTGCCACAGCTGCCACCGCCCGCTCGGCTCGCGCGCGCTCTGGCGCCACCACGACCGCGCCATCGCGCGCATCACGCGCACCGCGCAGGCCGTGCGCATGCACGAGGTACGCACGCTGCCACGGCTGCCACCGCCCGCTCGGCTCGCGCGCGCTCTGGCGCCACCACGACCGCGCCATCGCGCGCATCACGCGCACCGCGCAGGCCGTGCGCATGCACGAGGTACGCACGCTGCCACAGCTGCCACCGCCCGCTCGGCTCGCGCGCGCTCTGGCGCCACCACGACCGCGCCATCGCGCGCATCACGCGCACCGCGCAGGCCGTGCGCATGCACGAGGTACGCACGCTGCCACGGCTGCCACCGCCCGCTCGGCTCGCGCGCGCTCTGGCGCCACCACGACCGCGCCATCGCGCGCATCACGCGCACCGCGCAGGCCGTGCGCATGCACGAGGTACGCACGCTGCCACAGCTGCCACCGCCCGCTCGGCTCGCGCGCGCTCTGGCGCCACCACGACCGCGCCATCGCGCGCATCACGCGCACCGCGCAGGCCGTGCGCATGCACGAGGTACGCACGCTGCCACAGCTGCCACCGCCCGCTCGGCTCGCGCGCGCTTTGGTGCCACCACTAAAAAAGCCTTGAAAGTTCTTAAAATATAGATAATCTGCACACAATGTGTACATTTGCCAAGGCACCCTACCCTTGAATGTGTATAAAGAATACAAATACAATATAGGTGCGAGTCCAACATAACCCACGTTGCCCGTGAGGCGGGTATGTGTAGGTGTATTTCTCCATGTAAAAAAAAGGTACCTACCTATATTGTTTTATTCATTTTTAAATAATAAACAAAGAATATAGACAACTTTTACAGATTCTATATTTTTTAAGATACTTAAAAAGATGGGACGGTGGGAGGGATGAGGAGCGACATTTTTTTACTATTGCGGCATAAGGCAGCAAGGCAGCAAGAACCCATGCTACGCTACTCAGTTCCCAGTCCAGACCATAGTATATAGAAACGCTAGAGATATGTTGTAATGACACCCGATTTTTATTACAGCCAGGACCAGAGGTAGTGCCAAAGCTCCATGACCTTCCCGAAGAGTGTATCAGAGAGATTATGTTAAGGATATCGGACCACAGGGATTTAGACGTAAGTAAATTAGACATATAGACTTGTCTACACACCTCAAGTATATGGCGCAGCACGGAAAGACAGTTAACCCTTTAGTTTGACGAAGTAATTTTACCTTTTTCACATTTTTACATTAACATCTGATAACACTGAATCAAAAGTTAGTTCTTTTTTCTGACACTGCAACACTAAGGCTCAACTTATATTGCCGCGGAATGGAATGGAAACGAATTTGTGTAACTAAATTGTACATAGTAAAATGAGTTTTATGTTAATAAAACATGTTATGTAACATGCAAATTAAACATAAGCCAAAAAGAAGTCGCGCGTCTTCCGGAGAATTCCCGTAGGGTGTAGTTTTCGTTTCTATAAAAATATTTCTTTTCCTTTTTCTGATATTCTTCCTTTTCTCATAACTTTCTTCTTCTGCCTCACAAATAAGCAGTATGAATATAATGTTCCATCAACCATTCTTGTCAAATAAAATATCTAGACTAAATAACTGACCGTCCTTTATAGACTCAAGGCGCAGTCGCGGAAATGCTCAAGCCTTCTCGCGCGATGAGGAGAAATTGACGCTTCCGTTCCATTGCGTTCCGCCGCAATGTAAATTGAGCCTAACGTCATCCGTCATTTTACAAAAGAGTGTCAACACTCAGCAGCAGCTATATTAATCGTATAGTTGTACCACGAATGGGTCGGCTCGATCCGGGAAGGATCACACTCTCACAGAATACCAGCGTAAAACAGCAGCTTAATGCTACTGTGTTTCGTATGGTAATTGTAGAGAACCGGAGACCCTTTTTATTGGAAAACAGACATTCCATCTTAGTCCTCACGGCTGACAACGCATCTGCATTTTGATTCGCAAATTAGGATAGATATAGATATCTATGGGTCACATCAACCACTTACCATCAGGTGGACTGTGTGCACGCTTGTCACCTTTATCCTATAAAAAAGAGAAATTTCGCAGGCCGCCTCATCGGCATGGAGCGTGATGGCGTCAGTCTGCTCAGAGCGACGGGTCTGGCGCGAGCTTGTGATGTTCCATTTCTCGCAGCAGCAAATCAACACCGTCCTGGGTAAAGAGGAGAAGGACGTCGACTGGAAGAAACTCTTCCACCAGCTCAGGAAGTGAGATATTCTACTTAATAAAATATAATGTTACATGATTTTCGAACGTTCTAGTCTGCGCGGAAAACTTGAATGGCATTTTTGTCAGTGAAAGCAAAACATGGAAGCATTCCTATCTCCAAAAATGACCCGACGGAAAAGAGGCCATCCAAAACTTTTTATGCCACCAGAGCGGCGCCTTGTTCAAGCATAGACAAATATTGCATGCCTTAAGCGAAAGCGCAAGGTATGTTCTACTATCGCCTAAAAATTAAGATTCCAACGTTTTATCGAATTTATTATTTTACCGTTCAAAAATATATTGCGTAGTATTGTTATCTTCAACTTAAACTGTATGTTAAGATTTATATTTCAAATTTTGAAATATTATTTAATAATGAATTGAAAGTTTTCGTATCTCATATACATTGTGGTCTGTCTTTTTACCAAATAGTTTTGTATAGTTACACACTTTTCAAATAATTTGGTCGGTGTTCGAATAATTCACACCAATCACAATTTAAATATATTCCGCCAATGAGGGCATCCGCGTTTTCTGCCATCAGGGCGGCGCCAATTAAAAATTATTATATTTGACAGATTTCATAGCGATTAAGTTAATGTGTTCTGAAAATGTTTCTTCTTTTTCTTGTTGGTTAATGTTTCTTTCTTTTGCCATTAGTTATATTTTATATTAATTACCTACATTAAAAATAAAGAAACTAAACCACAGATATTCATAAAATTAGAAAAATTAAAAAAAAAATTAAAAATGTGCATACAATGAAAAAGCAGGCCACGGAGGCATTGTTTTATAAGTCGTTATACTCTAGAAACTGATTTAAAATAACTTCTCAGTTAAATTATTATTCCTCATTGACGTGATTGAGGTAGGCGTGGCTTAACAATTGCGCTGCGAACGAGTTTAGTACGAATAACGTCACTGTCATAATACTGATTAATGATTAAGTATAATTTGCCTTATTACATATTACATAAAACGTCTTTGAGTCGAAACGTCGATGAATGAAGAGCACACTGACGTTATATAATAAACGTCGTAAGCGACTTATGTGATGTACATATGGCAATTAAAACAAAAAAAAATCGAATTTGAATCCCGAATCGTAATAAAATTTATTAAACTTAAAATTCAAAATTCCAAATTGCATCCTCATCATCTCGATGGCTGGCAGTCCACTACTGTGTAATTTACGCGGAATTTTCTGTCTCGCACGACCAAAGTGTGCAATTTACTGTCGCCAGCGGTTTTTCTAGACCGAATCGACATTCAAGAAGAGCCTACTCCTTCCTTAAAGGCCGGCAACGCACCTGCAATTTTCTTGGTGTTACAGACGTTCATGGGCGACGGTGATCACTTACCATCAAGTGAACAAAAAAGTTTGCCTCTTCTTCCATTAAAAGAAAACTCTACGAGTGATGGAGTTTCAATTGTGTCATGTTAAGAGCTCGCACTTCCATGTTTTATTTGCGTTCATTGTTTTTTATCATAATGTCTTGTCATTAAGTAGTCATGAATATTTGACTGTAAGAATTTACTACGATAAAATAATAATAGAATCAGGCGTTACTTTGCGGAAATCCATTATATTGAAGTTGTTAGAACTTAATTTACTCATTTCCGCGTAATGAAGTGTCCTGCCCAGTCTGAAGAGCTCCTCCCACCCTCCCTCAATTGCGTGCACTATCCCCGTCACCACCAATCCCAGCACCACCAATTCCAACACCCCCATACTAGGAACGACACCACCCTCATCATTTTATTTCATTACGTGAAAATAAGCAAATTAAGTTCTAACAACTTCAATTCACGATAAATTAAGTACAATATATTTACTTATTTATTAACCAGTATTATCTAGCGGTTTTATAGTGGAGTAATATAATCCTACACCCTATTTCGTCCAGTAAAGAGGCAACTATCGGAAATGCCCAAAAAACTAATGGCTTCCGATGAGGAATTGTTCGGATTAATCCCAGCCGCCAAATTTCACGAACGCACATCGCGGCAGAACTCCCGATACCATCCACACCATCTGGATGATTGGCGGTCCACCACTGTGCGATTTAGAAGATGTTTTCTTCCTCGCACAACTTCCTTGTGGAATAGTTTACCACCAGCGATTTTTCCGGACCAATACGACTTACTCCTCTTCTATAAAAAAAAAAAAATCTTTATAAATAACATTCCGGAGTGCGTGTTCGTTATCGTTCGTATTCTTAGCTTATAGTAGGACTCGGTAGGTTCCACTGATATCGAGATCCAAAAAAAGACCCGTGCGAAGCTGACGCGGATCTCCAGTTTTTATATAAAACTGAATTGATAAACAAGCTTATATTTGCCATAAGGCGGCTTTTCACGTTGGCCAACATAGTGGCGAATGTGTTGCCAAAGGTTTGTGATGGCGTCCACGCGTTGGAAGGTCGTTCGGTTTGCTTCGGTTCAGGTCAATGTGCGGACGAATATTTATTAAAATGGATATTGAGGCGCTAACGGCTGTTGCGGTTTATTTATTCACAGCATACCGCTACTACGTGAATGTGTATAAGAAAAGGGTGATCAGAAAGAAATGGAAAAAAAAATTATTTCTTCTGTTCCACAAACAATTTTCGGCTTGGTAGAGCTCTTATAAAGCGAAAAGTTTCTTCATTGGTCATTATTACTGCTATTTTGTAGACACTAGTTACGATGCGTGAATATAAAATTTAAATGAGGTGTGTGCGATCACTCTGGGAGCTCGTGCGCAACGTGCGCCCAACGTGTGGACGCGGCGCCAATACTCTGCCACAACCCTTTGATCTTTTGTAAAAAACCGACACCACACGGATTTCTCGCCAACATGTTGGCCATCACTCCAATACATACCGATGTAAACACAAACACCCGCTCTACACGATGGCCATTGGTATTGAACAACACATTCGCCACTATGTTGGCCAACGTGAAGAGTTGCCAATAGATGCTACGCATGGAAAGCGGGTTGGCAACCGTATTTTTTTTTATTCAGCTGTTATCAGATAGATGCTGCTGCCCATCTAATTCAGCTTCCCTCTGTCGCCTGATACTCCCATGAGATGATATGGGGTAGTAGTTATTCTTACACCGCCACTACACGGTCCACATACTAACACGTCACCAATACCGTGTAACAATTTTACATTAATGTCGCAGGTTGTACGGTTTGCGGGAAGATGCCCAGTATGCGGAGACTCTCTCCCTGTGTCGTCACTGCAAATGCCTGTTCTGGCGTTCCCTTGGACATCCCTGTATAGCAGACCAGGTAACTAAAATACGTCTTCCTCTAATACTTGGTCCATCAGTCGTATACCTGTAAATTTCATGACCAGATTTTTATAATTTACTAGCTGACCAGGCAGACGTTCGACGTTTCGACGTTCGACGTTCGCGCTCTCCGACGACCCTGTGTCCTATAAAAATTCTTAAATTCGTAATAAAATATATTGAGGGTCACTTATAGGGATTTAAACTATCCTATCTCTCAAGTTGGACGAAACTGCACACAGTGTGCAATTCAATCAATTGCAATCAGTTTAGTAGTTTAAAGAGTTCATCGCTGACAAACAATGTGACACGTAATTTTTATATATAAAGATAAGTAACGACCTGATAGAACACGAAGGCAGTCATTGGATGCAGGTGAATTTATGGAAGAGACCTATGTTCAGCAGTGGCCTTGAGATGGTAGTGGGACAAGTGTGTAGGTGGCAGCGTAACATAATCACTACGCCATTCGATCCCGTGGTCACCGTAAGAGACGACAGAGGGAAACAAACCAGAAGATGGGCAGCAGCATCTCCCTGATAACAACTCAAGGTAATAAAAAACTGAAGTGACCAACCAGCTCGTCAAGTGTGGCATCTATGGTCAATACCCCCCCCCCCTCCCCCTCCCCCACCATGATTACGTAATACAATCTATGGTGTATATCTATAGTAATAGGATGTATTATAATGAATTAACGAAACCAAAGCAGTATTGAAGGAAGTACCTAAACCTTACTGTTTAGTTCGCGCACTAAAGAAGGCTGCAACTACGCTGGCTTGATACGAAAGTGTTAGCTACATAGGGATGATTAGTGTTTCCACCCGTACTTCATAATAAAGCAGAGTAAAATATTTTCTACCGACTTCAAAAAGGAGCCGGTACTCAATTCGACTGTATGTTTTTTTTTATGTGTTACCTCATAACTTATTACTGGGTGAACCGATTTCGATGATTCTTTTTTTTTATTTGAAAGGTGGTGCTCCACATGTGGTCCCATATACATTTGATCAAGATTTGACCAATAGTTTTTGAGTTATTCTTAATAATTTATATTGAAATCGGTTGTACAAAATTTGAAATTATGTACAAACATTCTTCAAAAATACTGTACAAGAACAAAAAGGTATATGAAAATGCAAATTCACTTATATGAACTTTCATTTCAAGTTTGTTTTTTATATTTTACTATAAGTTTGGCAGAGCCATAAAGATATAAGATATATGTATGCACTTATAAGTCAATGGGCAGAGCGTAAAACTAGATAGAGCCACGGTGCTGTTAATTATTGCTGCAGCAAGAATAGGTTGGCTCAATCGGGGAAGGAGCACACTTGCGAAGAATACTAGCCGGTTAAAGCAGCTGCTTCGTATGTTTTATGACGGGAATCTAATGGCGGCTGTACACGCTCGTCTCGTCGCGTCGCGTGCCTCTCGTCGCGTAGAGGTCCGACACGAGAGCACACCATGTACACACTCGTTGTATCACTTGAACTCCGGATGCGCACCATAGACTAATATATAATACTGGAGATAGACTGGCAACTGAAGTTTTCATATTTAGTTACCGTTCAGCGCCCTCTGAACGCGAAGCAATGAACTAAATGAAACATTATATATATATATATATATATATATATATATATATATATATATATATATATATATATATATATATATATATATAGTTGCGTATATGGCAATATGTATAGGTACTTACGTATGAATTACTGTTTTATTTATAGATAGAATATTTTATCTATAAATAAAACGGCAATTCATACGTAAGTACCTATACATATTATTTATATTTCGTTTTAGATACTTAAACAGTGTTTTGAAGTAAGCATATTTTTGGTGATGTTTTTAGACACACAAGTTTAAGTATCTTTGGGTATTCGGGTAAAGGTAATGAGATAAATAATACGAAAATATATAATTCAATAAATTTATTAATTATACATTAATACATTAATTTCGACGCCTTTTTGCCTCTCGTTTCGCACCCTTGTAATGTTCTCGAGCCTGTAGGAAAATGGAGACATTTTCATCACTATCATTACATAAATTATAATAGCTCTTGCCATTGAGTATATTGCTGAATTCGTTGCACCAAGTAATTATGAAGAACACAACACTTTTATGGACCAAATATTTCTTTAAATTTTCTTTGTTTTTCACATTTCATAAAATTTAAGTTGATGTAGACAGAACAGCATGATATATTTAACAATGTTTTCTACATGTGCATTTATTTAAAATATTCCATGTTATGTGTTCTACTTGTGCAAAAAAGTCAAACAATAACCGGGTAGTATAGCATAACCATCTTTTGCCACAATATTCTTTTTTTATTATAAAATAGTGAAAATCTTCATTATTTGATGATATTAAATTATTTTGACATGTTTTACATTTTTTAAATATAATTTTTTTTGCTTTGGTTGCTATCTACCCACTACAATAAACTATGGCCGCGCATTTCTCTACATGAACTTGGGAACGGCTTTCTCGAATTTGTTGTGTATTTATTAAATCAATATTTAAATGTTCATTGATAATTTCCATTAAGTCATTAGCATCTTCCACATTACAATTTTGGTATATTAAAGATTTTTATGATTTTAAACATATACTGTCATATTATTCACAATTTCCTTCTAAGGAGTGTGGGAATGTTATATTAATTTGTTAATAATGTTTTAAATGCGGTTTCAAAAGCCGCTGACTTGGGCATTACATTATTATAGCCATGAGCGCTTATTGCCCCAAAAAAGTTTTCCAAAGGGTGTTGGTTTACATTACGTAACAATAATGAATTTACTTCTTCTGCCCTTAACTTATTTGTTATTAATTTAAAACCTTCTATAGTTTTTACCCAACTGGTTAGAGATGGTACAGTTACCTTTTTACCATTAGTATTTATTTACTTCATTGACCTTAAAATGGGTAATGTTTTGTTCCATAATTTTAAATGGAATGAGTTTGGTGTGACAGCAGATCTGTATATTTTACCTTCTTCTTTATGTTAATTTTAGTCGAACAGGTTGTTGAACAGCATTATCAAATGTGTAGTGTCCACACTTTCCTCTGGCAAGCACCCACTTTCTAGAAACGAAAATTTTATGTTAAATATATATAAGTATTAAATTGTTGTATTTGCTTTTTTTTTATTGGGGCATCCTAAACTACTGGATAATGTTTAGAAGCATTTCACACCAAGTGTACATTATGTGCCTCATAAAACATGCATCATACAAATCATTTTTCGGCTACTGATATTGTTTATAATAATTCATTACTGTCCCGCTGCTAGGCACTGGCCTCTCAGAAGTAGAACGATTAAGCCTTAGTCCACATGCTGCCCTGATGTGGTTTAGCGGACTTCACACACATTGACAACTTTATGAGGCCCTCTCAGGTGTGGAGGTTTCCTCCCGATGTTTTCCAGCACTGTTAACGCAAGTAATCAATAATCAAATTCTGTTCCTCACATAACCTGCATGAAATGCAATTGTTTGACCGCTGGGCTATAATGCCATTTTGTTTTTATAAAGAAAATGTAGGTACCAAATTTTATTGAAACTCAATTCAAATTAATGTTTAATGATTATGACTTACATTACTCCCGGGTTGCCTAACAAAAATTTGTCCCACATACCTTTAATTAAATATATTGTAATTAAAACAAATTGCAAAAACATATTATATTGTTTTTGGTTAATTCACTTAATTCATTAGTTTCACACAGGTTATAAATGAATGAACAATAAATATATGTTTTATTGTACATTCATTTATAACCTGTGTGAAACTAACGCAGTTGCTATTATTAAATAAACTTAATCAAAAACTGATTTACCTGATACACCTGCAGAGGGTAAAAGCAAAGATGGAACAGCCAATTTACAAAGCCTGTTTTTTGGGTAAAGAAACTTTCTGAAAGTGCTGACGACAGATTCTATGAGTTTTACGGACAGTGGTGTTGTCCAGACTCACAATACCACCTACAATAATCTTTACCCAATTATGAAACCAATCTGCATCTTTCTCAGGACATGAAAAGTAATGTAGAGGTACACCTGAAAATAAAATAAAGTGACTATAATGGGCCTGACTGAAATGTGATTTTTAATCTTTCTAAGTTACTCTACATTATTTTACAATACATAATAATGTAATTTAATAAAATAAATAAAGTTATTGATAAATAATTAATCATAATTATTTTTCTAGATCACTTAGTTCAGAGTTCTAAAGACTAGCAGTGTTATAAAAGACAATTTCAAAAACTCAAAAGCCCGGCTAAAGGGGTGTAGGTAGATGCAGATGTATAGACCCACATTTTATGTGAGAGAGTTTATTATAATTACATATATATCATCTGATATCAAGGATGATGTTTTGTACCATAGGGACAATCAACTAAATTAATAATTTTCATCATTTTCTCAGTCGGTCTAGGTTATTTACTAAAGATAAAGAATCTTGATAATATAATTATGTCTTTTCACTTTACCTTGCATTTCAAAAATCTAAGAATTTACAAATGAAATATATATAAAACTTCTTGTGAACTCTATGTAATAGTTAAGTCGGTGGCTTGTCTTAGATTCATTAGTAAATTTAGAGATTTTTTCAATCTAAGTCAAATCTTATTTACTCATTTAGACCATATCAATAGGCACTTTTGAAAGTCGAGACTTTAGGTGCATGTTCGTAAATGTAGATTCCGATGGAGAAAAACATGCAAGAAACTCAACTTTTAATTGCAAATTGAGAAAAAAGACATGTCAAGATTGTTTACCAGTTTATCATGTTTTAGTCCTTGCTCTAAGGTTTACTATGACTTAACTGAGCCGACAGACTACGGCCCGTATTCTAAAACGACACTTGGCGACGATCTCAACTTGAGCACATCTTAGTGACGTATTTGTATGAAATGATAGACTCAAATCATTCTCAAGTAAAGCTGTGTTTGAGCGTCATTCTAGAATAAGAACCTACATGTAGCATTTATGATTTCTAAATGTTAAAAAACCTTATAGGAACCAATGGTATTTTAGAATTTTTGACTTACTGAATAAATAGAAATGTTGTTTTTTACTGCTTTTTAATTGTTAAAAACAGATTAACCAGTTTATGGTGTATTAGGCACGTGGAATATAAGCCAGCGTAGAATACACATATTTGTTTAAAAGACTATTGAGGTTATGAAACTTCAGAATATAAAAACACACTTTACTCACCATCTTCTGCTACTACTTGGCACCCAGGAACACAGAAGATATTTCGAGGCATTGTGTAAAATGTAAAATAACACTACACTGAGATATATGGTCCAAACTCCCTACGGGGGCCTATCAACATGTATGTCCAAAACACTTTCACAAAGTACAGTCTATGCTGGAATTTCGGTATTTCTGGAATATACGAAGAAACTGAAGCTCGATTCAACGTAGTAACACAAAAAACACCAAAAATTACAAGAAAATGCGCACGAGTATGCAAACACGCCGGTGAAAAATTTCTTCAAGTTCGACTCAGTGTTGCTAAAATTTGGTATCAATAAACTACTCTAAAGATTCTAAGATCGTAACTGTAATAAATACTATATAAATTATAATATCACTACAATACGGCCGACGTATCTTGGCGAGTCCGACCTTCGCGCAGAAGGTTGCGCAATAGCTTTTTTAAGGAACAAAATGGTGGCATGAGGCGACGTACGGGGGGCGGTGGTCTAGGCTAGAGATTGACCATAAGTAAACACAATCGACCCTTTAGTCATAAAATATCGCAATCGATTAGTTTTATTTAGAAGTTATTGATTTTTGTTTATATAAGATATTAAACGAAATAGATTTACAAATATAGTGAATTTTGTTGATAATAAACAAGATTTCGACTTAAATAAAAAAAAAAAACTAAAAACATATTATTTTCTCAGCTGAAAGACATAATGTACTTAAATATCAATTATCTATTAACGTCTTCTTGAGTAACGACTATTTGAGAAAATTTAGAACCTCCTTATAAATTGCAAATAAATATATTTTTATGTCTTAATTTTAATCGATTTGAATAAAAATCGATTAAACAACACCCTCAGGCACGCGTGTTGGACATCCCTTTCTGGTTACTTCGTAAAGCTTCGTGCTTATTCGGCAATGCTCGGTACACGGTAATATTTCTCAGTCACACGTTAGCATTGGTGTCGTGTTCGTGTCGCTATCTCTGTCTTGAGCACAGTCGGTTACAAAAGTTTTCGTTGTTATTGTTGTTTGTTTTTATTAATAGTGTTAAGTTTGTTTTGTTTGTTTTATTTGTTTTATTTGTTTTATTTGCAAGTGTCAGTTAGCACTTATATTATTCGCCAAACATGCCACCAAAACATAACAGTGTGTTAAATCGCCAGGCGAGAAAAATTATTTACGATTTAACGCAATATATGAAAAAAGAAAAAGAAGAAGGCGTAAAAGATGTCGATAAAGTTTATTTAAGAGTTGCTAACGCAACTGGTGTGTCCCAACGCACAGTACAGCGGATCGCAACTGAAGGCAATATTTCGGGCTTACTTTCAGTATTCCGCACGCCTGGTAAAAAAAGGTCTAGATCAAAACCTATTACTGATATGGATAATTTTGACCAGGGAGTAGTAAAAAGATGCATACACAACTTCCACAAAACTGAAAAAGAAATGCCGACGATAAACAAATTACTAGCGAAACTCAAACGGGATATAAATTTTCAAGGTGGTAAAACGAGCTTAAAGACAATTATCAAAAACTTGGGTTTCAAGTGGCGAAAGACCGAAACCAATAGAATGGTTCTTATAGAGAAGACCGACATTCGCCTGAAAAGGATCTTGTACTTGAAGGCAATGAAAAAATACAGGGACGAAGGGCGACCAATTGTATTCACTGACGAGTCGTATGCCCACTCATCACATACAAAAGGTAAGGCGTGGTCAGATGGTTCCGCTCAAGGACTAAAGCGCCCGATATCAAAAGGTCAGCGGATAGTGATGGTACACGCTGGGTCAGAAGCAGGGTTTGTTCCGAACGCGCTACTAATGTTCAAATCTGGCAGCAAAACCGGAGACTATCATGATGACATGAATTTCAAAAATTATGAGAAATGGTTACGGACCCAACTGATTCCAAATTTGAGCCCTAACTCGGTGGTGGTTATCGATAATGCTCCGTACCACAACAAATTAATGGATCCTGCCCCTACATCTAATGACAAGAAGGCAAAAATGGAATCGTGGTTATTAGAAAAGGGTATACCATATGAAAAGGACATGCGTAAACCACAACTTTACGATCTAATAAAAAAAAACAAAGACGTGAATAAAAAATACGTAATAGATGAAATGTTTAAACAAAACAACCACGATGTCCTTCGTTTACCCCCATATCATCCCGATTTAAACCCCATCGAGATGGTGTGGGCTGCCATTAAAGGGCACGTAGCCGCTAAAAACGTCGACTGGAACGTAACCCGGACAATGGAGCTCATACAAGAAAAAGTAAATTTAATGGGTCAGAATGAATGGAGTGCTTTATGCAGAAAAGTGCAAGAGGTCGAACATGACTATAGGAAGAGCGACCATATTATTGACGAAATGACGGATCAATTATTCATCATTAATACAGCTTCAGATTCAGAAAGTGAGTCTGAAAGTGAGAGCGACGATTACGAAGATGAACCTATGCCAAGTACCTCACATGGTACACAAGGGGCCGACGACTTTATGTTAGGAATTTCCCCCCTCAGCGACAGTGATTAAATAATAATAAGTGTAAATAAATAAAAAGTATTAAATGTAAATAATATTGTATGTGTTTGTGATAAAATCTGCCCCTATCGAAAGGTGAGGTATCAAAATTGAATCTTTAATTTATAATGTCTCCAAAGTGTTTTGATATTTTTGGTCACTGTATTAGGGAAATTTTATTTGTACATTGGTATATATAAAAAAATGACAATAACAGTTTTCTTCACGAGTGTTCATGCGCTAAACTTCGCAGAGCCTATATTCAGACTCGCCAAGATACGTCGGCCGTATTTTATGTAGTAATACAAAAAAATATAAAATATTTTTAAAATAAATTATACTGTTGTTAAATCATTTATTTTTGTGTACCTGGACCAATAAAAGAAAAATAGCAAAATTATCAGTTATTTTAAAGTACCAAGTGTTCCAAGTAAAAAAGAGTGGTCACACTGCAATAAAAAGCTCCATGTATGTGGGATAGATGGCGTTTTTCATAATAAATAAAAAATGTTTTAAGTTACCAGGGCATGATGCGCACTGCGATGGACGTAGAAGAAACTGTTGCTGTGTTTTGCCTTTGCTATTATTTTATTATAATTTTTTACATATTTCCAGTCAAAAGAAAATTAATAAGCCATGGTGGATGGTTTCTATTCACTGTAATAGAACCATGTAACTTCATATACTGTATTTAACAACATTGAACCATTTTCTTGATATTTTTTTATAATTATCAGAAAACAAACGAGTGTGTACAGGCGCGCTCTCGTTTTCATCGCGAGACTCACGAGACCCTTTGACTCGAGCGTAAAAAACCGACACGCTTCCGAGAGCGAACGAGAGCCGCGAGACGCGACGCGACGCGACGAGGACACCATGTACACGCTACGAACGGGCAGGACACGGACAGGCCGAGTACGAACTCGGCCTGTCTCGTGGTGTCTCGACGAGCGTGTACAGCCGCCATAAGACTTTACTGCATTCCATTTTAGACCTCAGTGGTGACAACGCATTTTTATTTTAGGTTCTTAGTTTCAAAAAATGTAGATGTCTCTAGGTCATAGCATCCACCTACCATCAGGTGTACTGTGTACTTATCACCCATGGACGTATAAATAAGATTAGGGCTTATTTATACGTCCATGGTCCCAAGTAATAAATAAATAAATTATATGGATTGGAGGAATACATTAATCAAACTACATATTTATACAGTGTATGTTGTTTTAGTGTCCGGAATACCGCGAACGGCTGAAGGAAGCCGGCGGGCCTCTTCCGCCGCACCCGGTTCCGCCCGCAGCCTTCCTCAAATTCTTCTCTCTTTAATTCACTTTATAAACCAGAACGGCCTATGCATATAAAATTAAACTTTGTCACTCTAAGCACTAAAATAAGTCAAGAATGAACTTTATGTTACACTTATTATATTAATTACCTATATGTTTTCAATGCTTCTGCGTTTCGTATGGTGAGTGTAGAGAACCGGAGACCCTTTTTACTGGTAACGAGATATCTTATTTCTCGGGGGTGACAACGCATCTACATTTTGATTCTTAATTGAGGATAAATGTAAATGTCTATGGGTCACAACATCTACTTACCATCAGGTGGACTGTCTGCTCGTTTGTCTTCCTTATTCTGTAAAATATACAAAAAATAATAATATTAAAGCGACAGTAGCCTAATGGTTATGGGTGCGGACAGCAAACTTGAAAAGTTAAGGATTCAAATCTGCCATTTGACTACTGTCATTGTCTGTGAACACTTTGAAAAGAATTTTAGTGTAATTAAAAAAAATAAAGGCAGCTAATGTATTTGACTCTATAAAAATCGTAGATAAAAATAGACCATTGTCTATTATAATGATATTTAAAAACAACATCATTGAATACATATATTATTATAACATTTGAATTGAATAAATAGATTCTAAGAGATATAAATTTATTGCCACATGTCAGCTGTTGAGTGCAACGACCAAGCAAGTTGTAATTTTTACGTAGGCTATTCTATGTACTGCTTTAACTTTTTTTATTGTACTAACATAATGTTAAACTATAATCCACTTTTGATTATTTTATACAATCAAGCAGGTGTGGTGTTCCTTTTAAAATAACGTGTGTGATTATTTTGTACCATGGTCAATGTAATGGATAGTTTTTCATAAAGCGACTTAATTTTTTTTTAGGTTATGCGACTATTACGATTCTTAAACTACGACTTACCTTGCACTTTGATCAATGCAAGGAAACATGAAAATAATACTACATATAGTGCCACCAACTTATCTGTTCAGTTGACAGCGTCGCTAGTGGAGTTGTTACTATTGCCATTTAAGAAATTCACTGAGGAATGAGGTAACTACATATTCATTACACATAATATAAAATAAAACAAATTTCGTGTTAATATATTAAAATTAGTGAGAAGTAGTGTTATTATTCATATTTTATAAAAATAATTGTGGTCGTGATCTCGGAGTTCAAGCGGCCGAATTCCAGGAATTTCTCTTTTGAAAAATGTACCCGCGTAGCTAACGCGACTCAATAATTCCAATAATTCATTTTCTGAGTCACTAGAATCGCTTTCACCATAGCTGACACTCTATAATAAAGGGTTCATATAAATACGCGTCTTTTAGTCTGTATTCATTTTTAATATTTTTACGTGATTACCAATGTTTTTTTTTTGTTTTGTGTAATTTTATAAAATTAATCTTCAATTAATTGGGGCATTAGAACATTAGCAACACAAACTACAAAGCTAGGTACTTAAATGAAAAATTGAGATATTTTTTTTACTATGTTTCACAAGTACATTATTTGGTGATTTTAATATTCCATATCTGGCAATAATAACCTGTCGCGGCAGCAACGCATTCATACAGCTTTTTAAATGGTATAGTTGGGACACGTTTCTCTTGTTTCATAAAAGATAAAAGTTTTAGGATAATCTATCGCGCATCACTTTTAAGACCTTTAGGCATTTTATTTACACCTTTTAAAAACACTTACCTGATAGCTCAGAATAAATAATAACTGACAGCAAAATGTCATTTACAAAATGGCGGCTTTAGTTCCAATTTTGTCCACCTGAACAGATAAGTTGGTGGCACTATACCAGTTAATATTTTTATTAAGAATTTTTTTTTTTATAAACATGTTGGATATGGCTATGCCTAATTTCGTTATGATTTTTTTTTATCTTGTATTATTGTAATGTCAAAGATAATTGTTTTAGTATGACATTCACAAACCGTTTAAAAAAAAAGAAATGTTTATTTATTTAAATAAAAGAAGCTTGTGATATTTCTAAATCCAATGACTAATTTTAAAAGTTTGAAAATAATTTTCTGTGTTAACTTTGAAACTTTTAATCATACATTTATAAAACTAATAAAGGAGCCAAATGCATATTTATATTGGTCTTAAAATTTGCGACAGTGATAACAAGACTAGACACAAAGTATATTGGCCTCCTAACATCAGTTTATACTAAATCTGGGTCTCACTGCCAACGAATTTGCTTAATCAAGAAAACTTTACTTAAAATATCTATCACCAATACAAAAAAGAATACAAAAAGCGACACAAATATTAAAAATAAATTAATAAATTTACTCTGTTTTATAAACATTTTGCAGAGGTACCTTTTAAAAAGGTGAAATAAACTGAAGCTATTGTAATATAAGTTAAGATTTTTTTTTATTTAAATACCTAATTCTCCTACACAAATGTAAAAAAGCAAAATGCATTAGAAAATAATAATGTAAAGTGTGAAGAAAACTTCATTATTCACAAAGGTCCTTAATACTTAATTACTTTCCCAAATAGTCTTGACTATTGCTTTCCCATTGATGTGTTCAATGAGATCAGGGTAGAACTAGTCCTAGTTTCCCGTTTATTCAAACATTTCCTGCTCATAATGAGAAATTTCGAGAACACTTACTATTAACTTGGTCCAAGAGAAACTGTGGATATAAGGTTTCCTTGCACTATTCTTGCCTCACACATTTTCATGAAGTAATAAAGACAGATTTTCAATATTTCGCTGTAAACTAACGAAACACCTACTGTCTTTCTCTTGTGTAAATGACCCAAATTTCTCAAATGAGTCCACCCACCACTGTCTTAGTAGATTTATGCATTTTTTTTAAATTAAAAGGTTATTGGTTCCTCAAAACCTGGCAACATTATGTTCCAAATAGAACTACAGTAAGTACATAAATTAGTGTTATATTCTGATATTTTGGGTTCACTAAAATGCTTACTTATTTTATTTTAGTTTTTAATGAAAACATTTTTTTTTTTGAATTTATTAAATAGCTAACTATTGCAACAGTAGCAGTGTAGTTGTTTAGCTCAATATAAATAAATGAAATGCTTTCTGAAAAAGGAAATGGATAAATTGTAACATTCTTGAATTTTAGGAACAATGAACCCATTACGAGCCGACAAGTCTTAAAATCATAAAATGTCTGAAAACCTATATAAAGATATATTTAATAAGCCTTATAGCAATATAAATAGTATATATTAGATACATTCTTCTGTTTGTAGTAGTCAAAACATAGCCCATTGGTGATGTTTGTAGTGATACAATATTGACTGCTTGAAAATTATAAGCATAGTGTAAGCATGATTATATTTTTCAGACCATAGAGTATAAACAAAGGATGCTTAGTATACATATATCATTGCTAAATTTTGGCTTAAAAGCAATATTTTTATAAAACTAGTGCTAAGACCTATTATCATCTGCTAGTAATTGTTTTCAGGCAATAAAATTTCAGTTGTTTGCTTATTCATAGGCCTAAGACTAAATTACTATATCAAAACATAATTCTGTCCAACATCTCACAGTCATAATGTAGTGATTTTAAATCTTCTAAAGTCTGATAATATATTGATTGACTGTCAAAACTTTTCTCTGTATTGTGTAGAGTAGTTGTTGATATTGTGATATTTTAAGATTATAAAATAAACTACCTTTTAAGTGTTTGATAGTACCAAGATGCTAACATTGTAAGATGTATAATAAATATTGGAAAATGCAGCTTTCTCACAAGTAGAATATCTTTAGTTATCTGTGATGTGTTTTTTTTTTTGTGCAATGGAATTGTTTTTAACTCATGTTCTCATATACTTGATGAATGTATTTTTAATAAAGTTATTTTAAATAATAAATTTTGATAGTTTCATTTAAATTTATATCATACACATTACAATGTTTTTCCAATGTGTAAGCAAGTGTTTGTCACTCACTAAAGAAACTAACCTGAATTGAAGTAGTAAGTGCAAAATATTTTATTTAGCAAGCAAAATCAATAAATAAAAAATAACTAATAACTTTAACAACCATTTGCATGAGCTAGCTGACGATGATAATATAATATGCATAAATATACCCCATGCACTACAGATAAAGCTCGTATAGACCTCTCTCAGTGATGTGCCTAATACTTGTAAACAACTGGATCCAGTGTACCCAGAGGAGTCTCTAGATATTTTTAAATTTGTATAAGGGCATGTTTTATCTCAGCACAATAAATTATTTGAGATAGAAATGTTCATTTTGTCGACATGTTAAAAAATAATAAAATTTTATAACTTGTTCTTACATTATGAAAAGTTCATTTAATAGCTGTACATGTTGAATGTGAAATGGTTTTTTTTTAAATTATTTAATATATTATTAGAGGTGACTTAATAGTGCTATGTAAATCTCAGATACGACAATAATTTACGTATATAATAAACGTAATTTTGTATCATTTGCTGTTAATATTCAGTCAGGTTAATCTGCAGTGAAGTTTCTTTTGAATTTATTGGGTTTTTTTTAATTGTATCTGTGACTGGTCACCACTGCTAGTATATTGGCCATAGGCTAAGTATATACCATTTCGTGAGAAAGAGCAAGCATTTGAAGCACTGTATCATGAGGACTATATTATACTAATAAATAAAAAACTAAAGTATATGATTTGTAGAGCCCTGCTGTAGCATGAATGGGTAATCTCAACCAGGATAGGACCACACTCACAGAATACCAGCCTAAAATAGCAACTTAATGGTGCCGTGTTTCATATGGTGAGTAAAGAGAACCACAGACCCTTGTTTACTGGAATTAAGGCATTCCATCTTAGTCGGCAAACATTGCATCTACATTTTGATTCTTAATTGAGGATAAATGTAGATGTCTATAGGTCACAGAATCCACTTACCATCATATGGAATGTATGCTTATTTATTACACTTGTTCTATAAAAAAAACCTAGAGATCATAAATGATTATATAAAGAAAACATATATCTGAACATTCATATCAATACTATTCATAATTAAATACAAAAACTACTATAATGGTCTTCAAATCTATTATATTTTCATAATTAATCTTGTAAAAGATATATGAAATAAATTTGTCTGGAGAACAGTTGGTATTTGTTTTTTGACTCCCCAGCTATATATTTATTGTGTTTGTAAAACCCTGATAAAATAAACATGTTCATTCAACTTTATACTTTTATTGTGAAAAAATTGTTATTGTGTTATCTTTAGTGCATTTTAACTTAATCTACTATCAAAACAAGCACATCACTAAAAACACAAAAGCAAATCTTTCTTATAGCATACTGATGAAAAGGAAGTAAGCCAAGAAGAAACAAGAACTTTACATATAAATTAGGACTATAGTTTAAAAAAATATAATAACAGATACAGACAAGAAAAAGTTCAACTTAATTCGGCTTTAACATTCTCACAGTGTCGAACCAAATCTTTCAATTTATACACAAGATCTTGAAGCTGCTGTGTATCACAGGTAAATCTAACATCTTCCTTATCCGTCTTTAAAACAACGGTGTAAAACAATTTATCCGAACCTACTCCGGGTGTATTTGTTAACACTTCAAGTTTCCATTCCACGTCTATTATTTTGGGTAGTGCGTTCGTCTCTAATTGAGGAATCGAATCCATTACTGATGATCATTTATGTTTAAAACTATATTTTTAATCTTATCTTACTATATCTTTTAATCCAGTCTTCTCTCACAAACTATATAGAAATCTTCTCTTCACTTCAAATATTTCAATACCAACAATACCAAAAAGAAGAAATATTCAATCTAAGAGTATAGTAACTGTCCTATAGAGGAATGTTCATATTTCAATATTTACTTCTTTCTCTTCTTCTTTTATATTATGGCTTCTCTTGATAGAATTCTGCCTTCAATGTTTAGTGTTTACAATTTACGTAATTGGAGCTGTCAACCGTCATTGTCATTGTCCAAAATATTTGTTGTTGTTAAGATTCGGCATTTTGGGGCAGACAAAAATCTGAGACCATACAGCCTAACCTGATTTGTATTTGTTTCACAAAACCACAATACGCTGATGCGTTACATTGCGAAGTTTCTGGGAGATTTTGACGATAACTTAACCCAGCGGACAATTGATGACAATAATATCTCAAGTTCCCTAAGCGGATAAAAAGCCTGAGATTTATATCACCATCGAAGCACTTGTTAGGCCAGCCACATACAGTTGGAATTTCGTTTCGAAAACCGTTTCGGAATATCGATTCGGATTTTGAATGCAGCACATCCATATAAAATCTAGGACCTACTCTACATACGTAGAGTAGTTTTTAGTTCGAAATCTTCGATTTAAGATTCCGAATGATTGCCTGAGCGTTTGGAATCCCGCACGAAAAAAGCCGTTCCGAACGCAAGCCTTTCATAGATTTTTTATGAGTCGAATCACACATTCGTAAATTCCGTACGGAATGCGCCCAGTGTGCGTCGCACGACTGAAGGGAGTAGGTGTGTTTATGTATGTTTTATAAGTAATCTTATATGTGTACCTATCTCTATTCATAACCTTTCATCTTATTCTGTTTAATAATGCGTCAAAAGAGTTTATAGATTTATAATATTATTAAAAAAATCTTTAGATAGATAAGATATTTTTACATAATATTGAATTTTAGTCATAAAGGTCTTTCCTAGTACTAACACCAGGTTCTCACAAATTAAAATGTTTATACCTCCAATATTATTACAGGGCAATATAAGCTTGTGAGAGCAAATAAACTAAAGTTATTATTATTATTGACTACCTCGCAATCTTAGGGTGTGAAGGGGAAGCACCCAGTAACAAGGATACAGCAAACTGCAATCGCAATCAGAAAATCTTCGTCCATATTAGCTGTCTGGACTCAATGTCTAATTTCTTTCAACTGGGCCTTGTTATTCCGAAGGGAAATAAACGTATGGTGTGATGTATATACGGAATCCCGAATCAATATTCCGAAAAGGTTTTTTCGAAACGGAATTTCTAATGTATGTGGCGGGCGTTACATCGTTCCACTAATAAATTATAGTTCACATTGGCAGATAAATGACCATCCGACACAATGATGTTCTCACCATTCTATTAAAACTGTTCTGTTAACAAAGAGCCAGAGATAGGTAGTATCTTGTAAACAGATCTTACTAACTTTAATAGTTTAGCATTGTGTGTACAGTCATAACTTTGCGGACTTCAGCTTTCGAGACTTTTATCTGTAGGGACAATTTGTAAGTTAACTAAAGTACATTGGGGGAATACCGACAGAAATTTCAAAGACGTGATTGCCCTTACGTACGCACACAGCATGCATTCCCCACCGGCAAGCAGACTGCACTATCGAGCTCCATGTAGAGTCGTCGCTTCACAAGCGAAAATACATCGAAGCGTAAATCGCGCTATCAAAGTTCAAAAGAAGTAAAAGCAGTATATATATAGCTGGCCACTCCCTGGGGCGATCACCTTGCCCGGCGGGAGATTCCCTTTTCCTTTCACCAGCCAACCCTTAAATAACTAAATCGTACTATCTAAGTTCCGGAGTAAAGCAGGTGATGGGAGTAGCGTCTTCGAATAACAACTAAAAATAAAAAAACTGCGGTTGCCAACTCGCCTACCAAGTGTAGCAACTATGGCAAATATCCCCCTTTGACCGTGGAAAGGAAAAGGGGAGTTCTCCCGCCGTAGTTCGGAGCTATTATTCTATATATACTTTTCTTATAGAATAAGGGTGAAGAACGAGCGGATGATCCACCTGATGCTAAATAAATACTGTGGCCCATAGACATCTACATCTATCCACGACTATGAATCAAGATACAAATGCGCTGTCACCCCTTTGGACTAAGATGGAATGCCTCGTCTCCAGCAAAGATGGTCTCCGGTTCTCTACACTCACCATTCAAAACACAGCAGTATTAAGCTGCTATTTTACGCTGGTATTCTGTGAGAGCGTGATCATTCCCCGCTCGAGCTGCCCCATTTGTGCTACAATCATAATATAGCTGCAGCGTGGCTCCACCACATATGAAGTATATTATATAGTCTCTGTTGAGACTGGCCGCCGTAACCGAACTCTGTTTGGAGGACAATATTACATTGATCCTCAGATGTTACAACGCATATTTGTAGCTTCAGGCGGCCCCTAGACCTACTATAACATTGTACAATGCATTTTATTGTACAATAAGATTCAAAGGCGCTTGTGGCTAAAATTAAAAAAAAACGAACACGTCGCTCGTCGAAAGATTGATACAAGAAAAGGCATAAATACACTCACGAAAATCTTTTAAAAGACTTGATGATAGCGAGAGATAAAAAGCAGACTTCAAAAATGTTGTACGACTGAATTTGCAACAGTTTCAAGAACTACTAGAAGTGGTCACGTAAGCAATACCACCTTTTCAACGGCTTTCAATAACATTACGGTGTCTAGTGACCGATAACAGGTAAGTACTCTGGAAGATTTAAAGTTTCGTAATGCTGTTTCCACACAAAGTCTTTCTTTAATAATTATGGAAACCTGCGATAATACATGTTTTGAAGGAATTAATCAAGATAAATAAAGACTATAATCTTTTCATTTATTTATTAAACTGTATCTATATATTGAGATATAGAACCTTCGTTCACCATTGAGTCATAAGCATCATTTTCCTGTTGAAAATTGTTCATGTTCTGCTGATTATCCTGTTGGAAGTACATAGAAACATCTCTTTGTATTTAGAAAACGATGTATCCAAAGCAGTATTTTTTTTTTATCACGGTCATGATATTCTTTGCTCTTGACATTCTACAGAGACGGCAATTCTCGGTAAAATTGGATACATTCGACAATAAACTTCCTTTTCTTAACTTTTGAGTTCTCTTTTTCCGCCTTGTATGTGCGCGCGCGTTTTCTCCTCGTCAAGACGAAACACAGAATAAACAATATTGCGCAATACTGACCCTACACGACGCAATGGAAAAATATGGTGCAATAAAAATTAAACTCGCTCAAACTTTCGTTCAATCATTGCGCAATATAACTGATCGTATAGAGGGCGCCTTACACGGAGTTTGAGGTGTATTTCTGGTAATCGTGTGCTGCAGTAGGCACTGACCATCAGGTGGGCAGTTAGCTCGTTTGTCACCCAAATATCAAATATTTTTAGCTGACTATATATTGTTGACTAAAGAAAATTGCTTTTATCATTAATTTGATCTGTATGTATGAATGTGATTTGACCTAGTCCTAGTATTTTGACTAAGAACATCACAGCTAATGATCAGTGTGATGTTTTTTTTTTTATTTTAAAAAGAATACTAGTATCACTATTAACATTGCTAATACTCCGATAACCACTCAGTAGTCGAATGATGGATTCGAACCCACAACTTTCTTAGTTTACAGTCCGCACCATACCGTTATGCTACTGACGCACGCATCGAACGCGAAGCGGAGATGTAAGTATGTACATATAGAGCTCTATTGTCACCAAATCAAAAAAATCGCAATCCACTCAACTTCACCAGCTTTTATTGCACTTATCTGTCCAAATAAATAAAATTGAAGTGTCTGTTTGTAATGTCGAAATAACAGCTTTTTACTATATACATATGATAAAAAGCTAGTATAGTATATAGTATATACGGTACTTATAACAAAAACATGATTTTTAAAATTTTTGTCTGTCTGTCTGTTTGTTCCGACTAATCTCCGAAACGGCTGGACCTATTTTGACCGGACTTTCACTGGCAGATAGCTGATGTTATAAGAAGTAACTTAGGCTACTTTTATTTTAGAAAAAGAATTAGGGTTCCGCGCAAAAAAAAAATTAAACCCATGAAATCCAATCGTAATAAATTAAAATTAAACGCGCGGGCGAAGTCGCGGAGAACAGCTAGTGTATAATAATAAAAAAGTACACCAATAGCAAGAGGAGATTTCAATTAAGACTTCTGACGTAGTTATGATCATTTATTTCGATTATTATTAAAAAAAAAAGTTTAATTTCACTTAGATGTCAGTTGGACGGTATGATGTGAACAAGATATCTTTCGAAATACTGAACTTATCACTTTGGTTTTTTTGTTAGCTTTTATTTTAATGCTTAGGAAGCCTTTTGGATTTCATTATTGTAAACCGTCCCGTTCATTAATATTTTATTTTTTATTTTATTAATTATTTGACAATTACTACCAAAATACGAATTATCGATATGAAGCAGTCAAAAAAATGTTCGTAATATGTAGTTAATTCTAACTAAAAGAGACATAATTTTTTTGTAGCTTTAAACGGTAAAATATGTATTCCGGTAATTAATAAAAGTAAATTGATTATTAAAACATTACATGAACGTTGGAGGTGTGCACTTTTCAATTTTTTATTTTACTTTAACTGTATCATAAATATTTAAAATATCAAATCTGTTATTATTATTGGATCACAGTTAGAGATGAAATAAAAGGAAAATATATTCAAAATATATTTTATCAAAAAAAACCTCAATCAATAATCTGTGAATAGTCTTGACTTTCGGACACGTCGCTCGGAGGATTCCAGTCATCGGAATCGTCGGTATGATACGGATCTTCTTCTTCCGACTCGCTTCCACTCCACACTTCTCTTTGCACAGTTTTCCGTGCTCTTTTTCCCGTTACGATTAGTTCTTCTATCGGCGAGTCCTTGCCAATGTTATTCCTCACTCTCTTTTTTCTTTTACCTGCCATAAATACAACCCTCTTACAAGAAAATAGATACCTCAAATATTCAAACGCTTCTCAATTTTAAGACTGTTAATTCTCGTGCTGTCTCTATCACTTTGAGCCATAGTGATTGTGACACCACGAGACGAAACTTAAGTGCATCTAAAAATTGAGTGGCGTTTAAATATTTGAACAAGAGACAGATTAAAAACATAATGCGTTGGAGCGAGTCTACCTAATACATAACACAAAAACTCACGCACGCAAACGCAACTGGGTGACAGCATTCGGAGATTTAGGCAAAGACTACGGACTTCCACTTGGCCCGTTCCTGACATACTTCTCTCTCTTTCTTCACTCCCGTATATTTAAATTGTTTAATAAGGGTCATTACACTATTTAAGTTTACATGATTGATAATAGCTCTGGAAATGAGGTGATCGGTACCGTGCTATTTCTAAATGTTTTCAATGCAGACGCGTTGTCAGCCTTGAGGACTAAGATGGAATGCCTCTTTTCCAGTAAAAAGGGTCTCTGGTTCTCGTATACTCACCATACGAAACACAGCAGCATTAAGTTGCTATTTTAAGGTGGTATTCTGTGAGAGCGTGGTCCTTACCCGGCCACGAGCCGACCCATTCGTGCTACAACTATACTGTAAATAAAGCTGCAGCTTGACTTTACCACGTACAAAAATAAGGTTCTTCCCAGGACAGAGGATTTTTTCGAAACGTTACGCTTAAATAGCTTTCAATAATTCTTGTAATCTATATTGAATAAAAATAACCTAACCTCAATATCCGACCGCGTATTGCGATGTAAGAATATCCACTACCCCAAATCGTCCCGTGAGTGTCGTAAGAGATAACAAAGTGAAACCAATCAGGAGATAGTCAGCAACGTCTTCCTGCCTTCCTTCAACTTAAAATTATAAAAACACTGCGGTTGCCAATTCGTCAGCCAATCCGTGGCAACTATGGTAAAATCTCCCCAATTAGGCAATCTATGGGGGTGATCTATGTTCAGCAGTGAACTTTTATAGGCTGTAATGGTAAACGTAAATTACCTTTATATAGCCTCATACGAGGTATTTTGCCATATTTGCCAGGATTTTCGGGCGGGTTAGCAACCGCAGTTGTTTCGTAATTTTGAGTTGTTACATTCATCTCTTGTTTCAATTTCCCTCTGTCGCCTCTGACGACATCCACGGGATGATAAAGGCTAGTGTATTTTTACACCTTCACTACACGATAGAAATATATGAATTTAATATTAAAGCGAATACTCAAATGTGATGGTATACCGCCATACATTTGGACGAAATAATAATAACTAAAAATAAAAATACCTGCGGGTGCCAACCCGCTTGCCAAGCGTAGCAACTAGTGCAAATATCCACCTATGAGGAAATATCTATGGCGGAGTCCTATGTTCAGCAGTGGGATTTAATAGGCTGTATCGATAACGGCAGGCCTCTGTCACTCATGCTACCTGCGTGAAATAATTACCTACAATCGCGAGGCACCCCGGGTTTATATGCGCAGTCGTGGCTAGCGCGTAATAGGCGGTTGAATGTTAAAGTTTTTTAACGCTGTTTACGTAAATAGTTTTTTGTAAATACTTGTTGAAATAGTTTTTGTTTAGTGTTTATTATATTTAATTGTAAGATAAAATAGTTGAAAAAGATTTAATGTAATTTAAAAATAATATATTGAAAACTATTTGATAAATTATAATGGTAAAACGTCGTCGTTCCTACTATAATTGTTGCGTGGTTGGTGGGAGCATCACTTAATGACCAAACAAAAGGATTCAGATAAATCATTTTTTAAGTTACCGAAGGATAATGAAAGGTGAATGTATAATTTTCTTTGTTAGGTAATAACAAAACTTATAGCGAAAAAAGAATTAATTAATAATTTAACTACAGAAGTAATACCTAAGTACTTTATTACAAAACTAAGTTGAAATTTACTTCACTAACCAAGTACCTACTTGCATTTTTTGCTAATTTTATTAAGTTTCGCTTTTATTATTATTATTTATTTAAAACTTCATATACACATGTGCGATATAGGCGGACTTAATGCCTAAGGCATTATCTACCAGTCTACCTTGGGATGATGCAGAGATAGAATGAAGTAGGTGTACTAAAAAGTTAATATGCGAATACTAATCTAAAATAACAAAGAAAATTGTAATACATGGAAATAAAATACACAAGATATAAATGGTACATCATAAAAATAAAAAATAGATATATAAAATAAATTATAATAAAAATAATAAAATGAAATATAAAATAGCTAAGATAATAAAAAAGTATAATACTTAAGTACATATTATAATGTCAGATGTATATAAACTCAATATACATAATATATATTATTCTTAAATTACATTAAAACTTTTTCAACTATTTTATTCTACAATTAAATATACTAAACACTAAACAAAAACTATTTCGACGAGTATTTCAACGAGTATTTACAAAAAACTATCTACGTAAACAGCGTTAAAAAACTTTTAACATTCAATCGCCTAGAACGCGCTAGCCCCGACTGCTTTCTAGCCCGGGGGCGCCTCGCGATTGTAGGTCATTATTTCACGCAGGTAGCAAGAGTGACAGAGACTTGCTAGTATATTGTAGTCTCATTTCATCGACCACACCAGAATGCATCCCCAGCAGCAAGTCAACATCTAAACATGGTCCCTCGAGCCGGATAGGGGCCACAACTAGCCATAAATCTTCTATACTAATAGGGTATAAACAAAGAAAATACTAAATACAATGACGTTTGTTTAATTAACATAATTTTTATAAACCTAAACTTCTCTCTACATTATATTTGATTACTTAATCGAATTCATAATCATAATCGACACTCTCTCCGTCCGAATCCTCGACCTCGAAGTGGTCATCATAGAAATTGACTGTATTCGCGTTTACGTAGATTATTTTGCCGTGCCTTTGAACGATATGTGTGTTTCTTTTCTTCATACCTGGAACAAATACAATACAATAATTATTTTATATTTAAGCGAATACTATACATTGAATAATACAAATTTTACCGATTCTTACAATTTTTTTTAATGAGGGTTAATAAACTTACGCTCACCAGATGTCGCTAGCTGGGATTAAGCTGAACATATTTTTTGGTTTCTCATATATGTATATTATAGCTTAGTTTAGTTAAACTAGTTTAGCCTAAAGTATTTAGGCCAAACTAGATTGTCCTGGGCTAAATTAGGGTATCCTGACACGAGTAGGACAAACCGATTTGGTCTAGGAGAAACTAGTTTAGCCTGAAATCGGGTTTTGCCGGTAACATATATACACAAAACAATGCTCCATAGCGCAGTGGCTTAGCAATGAGTTGCTGCGCTGGAGGCCGCGGGTTCGAATTCCGCACGGAAAAAGTATTTGTATGAATCATCAGGTTCATTCTCATTATAAAAAAATATAACTGCGAGGTGCATGTGTGTGTGTGTGTGTGTGTGTGTGTGTGTCTGCGCGATGCATGCGTGTGTGTATATACTTGCAGGGTGCATGTGTTTGTGTATATACTTGCAGGGTGCATGTGTGTGTGTATACCAGCGGGGTGCATGTGTATGTATACATGCGGGGCGTATGTGTGTGCGTATACCTGCGCGGTGCGTTTGTGAATGTATACCTGCGCGGCGCATATGGGTGTGAATACCTGCGGGGTGCATGTGTATGTGTATACCAGCGCGGGGCATGTGTGTGTATTACCTGCGGGGCGCATGTGTGTATGTGTATACCGGCACTGTGCATGTATGTATGTACACAAGCGGGGTACATGTGTGTGTGTGTGTGTATACCAGCAGGGTGCATGTGTGTGTATACCAGCGGAGTGTATGTGTGTGTATATGTATACCTTCGGGCGCATGTGTGTGTGTGTACCTGGTGGCGGCGGCGGGTGCATGCCGTCGGGGTGCGTGTGGTCGCGCCAGTGGCGCGGGTCGCGGCGCGCGCACGCCAGGCCGTACGGGCACGGCGCTCGCACCCCCGCACCCCAGTCCGCATCGCTCGGGTGGCTGAACTGCGCCTTGTGTTGAGGGTTTTTCCTGTAGTATGGATAGATTAAGTGCTATATTTCACTTTGTAACTTAATAACTTAATCTAACTTGAATGGGTGCTACAAGTTAGTTTACGATGGTAGCTTTATTTTTTTAGTTTTTAAACAACTTTACCCCTACACTAGGATTTTCTCCTGAATCGTGAAGGCAGTTTATATATATTAATTGCACAAGGACAAACATCATGACCCAGCCCAAGAGAATATTTAGTAGCATACTTAATTGGGGAAGTATTGGCAAATTCTTTTGTCATAAAACCATAAGATAAAAGTAAAGCAGCCTACGTATGTCCCACTGTTCAGTACAGGTTTCCTATAACTTATAATATAACTTTGGTGCATGAGTTTGTCACGTTGTCACTATACATTTTTTTGCATCCTACCCTTGAGGGCGGATTTGCTTCTCGCCGGACGATCCCAACGTTGTTGCTAATTCTGTCGCTGATGTGGTACTTCAGAGTATGGAACTTTTTATTCCATCCTCTGTAGTGCTCATCGGAAGCAGATCCCAGCAATGGTTTAGTCGCTCCTGTAAAATAGCATCACGCTATAAACAGGAGTGCTACCGGGACTGGGCTGACGCATCAACGTTTCGGGATGTAAACACCAGCGCCCTTAAAAACAAGTATAATTCCGCCTCCAAGTCCTTCGAGAGTCATTGCCAAGGCAAGGTCTGAGCACATCCGCAGAATTGGCGAGAAGCTAGTTCACCTTCCTTCGGAAACCCGTGCATTCTGATCTCCCACCAATGCTGTCCAAGAGAACTTCTGTCAACCGTCTCTTCCATCTCTGCACAGAGAGGACGACTCACTGGCCCATGCCGCAAAGGAGAAAGCCGAGCTGTTAGGCTCTCTCTTTGCGTCCAACTCGATTCTTGATGACGGGGGGAACACACCGCCGACCATCTCGCGGTGTGAGTGCTCCATGCCGGATGTGCGGTTTACACAGCGCTCGGTTCGCAAAGCACTCCTCTCCCTAGACGTCGGCAATTCGAGTGGGCCTGACGGAGTCTCTCCCATTGTGCTGAAGACGTGTGCATCGGTTTTAACGCCTTTTCCGGTACTCCTACTCCCAAGGCGTAGTGCCGAACTCATGGAAGACAGCTTTGGTGCAACCGATCCCTAAAAAAAAGCGACCGCTCAGATCCGTCCAACTACAGACCTATCGCCATCACCTCCTTGTTCTCCAAAGTAATGGAAACCATTATTAACGGCCTGCTCAGGATCACCAGCTGATTAGTGACCGCCAGTACGGTTTCCGTCGAGGTTGTTCAGCTGGTGATCTTCTAGGTTACCTAATTCATAGATGAGCGGAGGCAGTGGAGTACAAGGGGGAGGCGTTGGCCGTTAGTTTGGATATAGCGAAGGCCTTCGATCGGGTTTGGCACAAAGCGCTTCTTTCGAAACTGCCTTCCTATGGGCTCCCGAAAAATTGTGAATTGGATCACCAGTTTTCTTGCAGATCGGAGCATCAAGGTCGTAGTAGACGGTGCATGCTCCGATTACAAGCCCATTAACGCTGGTGTTCCACAAGGCTGCGTGCTATCACCAACGCTGTTTCTTCTGCATATCAATAATATGTTGCAAACTGGTAACATTCATTGCTATGCAGACGACAGCACTGCTGATGCTTTATACACCGGCCGTGTTAATATTTCTCGGGAAAACGTCGCCGAATTCCGGAACAAAGTTGTGTCTAAAGTCGAGACTTTGTTGAAGAAAGTCTCAGGCTGGGGGCGACTAAATCTAGTCCAGTTCAATTCCCAGAAGACACAAGTTTCCGTATTTACCGCACTCAGTTTCAAGGCACTCCCCTTGTTGCCTCAGTCAGTATCCGAATCCTCGGTGTCGACATAACGAGTGACGTACAGTTTCATGGTCACTTAGAGGAGAAGGCCAAATTGGCCTCTAAAAAGCTTGGTGTGCTCAGTAGAGCGGGACAGTATTTCATGCCAGCACACCGCTTGCAATTTTATAGGCGCAGGTTCGGCCTCACATGGAATACTGTTTCCATCTCTAGGCAGGGGCTCCCCAGTGCCAGCTCCTTCCACTTGACCGCATTCAGCGCAGAGCGGTTCGAATCGTCGACGACTGAGATCTTTCCGATCGGCTTGACTCACTGGCACTGCGTAGAGATGTTGCATCTCTTTGTGTATTTTATCGCATCTATCACGGGGAGTGCTCTGAGAAATTTTTCGAACAAATTGCAGTCGCTCAATTTCACCATGGCACATCGCGACAAAACTCGCAGTACCATCCATACCATGTGGATGATTAGCGATCCACCGCTGTGCGATTTACAAGAAGTTTTCTTCCTCGCACAATTTCCTTGTGGAATCGATTACCACCAGCGATTTTTCCGGACCGATACGACTTAGGGACCTTCAAGAAAAGAGCCTACTCCTTTTTAAAAGGCCGGCAACGCATCTGCAATTCCCCTGGTGTTGCAGTTGTTCATGGGCGGCGGTAGTCACTTATCATCAGGTGAACCACATGCTCGTTGCCCCCTCCCCTATAAAAAAAAAACTCAGGGAGGTATTTAAGGAAAAAGCATTTTTAAAATGTTTGTCTGTCTGTCTGTCCGTCTGTCCGGGCTAATCTTCGGAATGGCCGAACCGATTGCGATGAAACTTCGCAAGCAGATAAGAGAGCAATGTCACGAGTGATCTCGGCTATATAAAATAGATTTTTTTTGGGAAATTGCAATTTGATAAAATAATGGTCTTTGTCCGTGTTCTAAATCTAAATGACTCCACATTAATAGATAATATAGATAATAGTAAATCCAAAGATAGATAATAGTAAATATAAGTACACGAAGTTTTATCAATATATTTATCTTATCGTTAATATCATTAAGCCGATGCAATCTCCTCTTCGCGTACAAAACTACGTACTTATAATAACAACGACGACGAGCGCGTGTTAAAAATGTGATAAACATAATATTAAAAAAAAAGACCTAACAAAATGAAAAATGACTATAGGCGAAATACCGGCAGATAATTTGGGCGGTATAATAATAATAATAATAATAATAATAATAATAATAATAATAATAATAATAATAATAATAATAATAACCCATGGGATCACCTTGTCGTGGTGGGGGGGCTTAAGGGAAAGGCATGTACTTAACTGTAGTCAGAACAACTACGCTGTGTAGCAATAATAAGCCAGGGTTATCTATCTGCCTATTAATATTTAAAGACCCTTTTCCAAACTAACGATCCCAAACCAGGCTGAACAAAAATATGAGTGCACGACGTAAACTACGGCCCCCAGTTCCCGGCAGATCCAGTAACCATATCGACTCTGACGGAAGCCGAGATGGTGCTGTGTCTTGGAGCGCATACAATCTCCGGGCGAGGAAGATTTCCCGTCAAACGACTCAAGCTATATCTTCGGACACCGATACTCTTAGTGATACTGATAGTTTATATACCCCCGAAAATGATGGGCAGAAATCAAAGCCATACACTTTACACCAGTCTTTACCTTCCTCATCATCATCAAGTAGACAATTGCTGAAGGATGATGCACAGAATATAACTTCTGTTATGGAACCTGTGCCCACCATCAGTAAACGTAATACGCGTAAGAAATGGACTTCTGAAATGAATGAATTCATATTGCGTACTTACCTCTATTTAACAATGATGGAGACTGACACTAAAGGTTATTTACAACCATTACACATGAAATTCATAGAACGATTCCCAGATATGCAGGTAACTCGTCAAAGATTAGGAGATCAGCGTAGAGCAATAATAAATAATAAACTTTTGTCCCAAGAAATAGTTAACAAAATTTATATTGAAGTGCAATCAAACTTACAGACTACATTTCCCCAATCCATCTCTGTTACACAGAACAATCATCATACTAATACCCACCGTTTACAAACACAACAACGTATGAAATGGACAGACGAATACAATGAAGCTATAATAAGAATTTACTATAAAATAACTCAGTTTGAGAAAAATAAAATAGCATATAGGAAACTCTTACACCAAGAGTTTATAAAACAATTCCCCCATTTAACTCATTTGACAGAGCAACGGATCGCTGACCAAAGACGATTAATTTTACAGAACAAATATTTAAGTGTTGACCGCTTAGAATTAATTAAGAATGACTTGCAAAAACAACATAACGTTATACAAGCCAATGACAACTCAATGCTTCAGATAAGTATCTCAAACAACGAAGAAACAAATACAGAAAGTTTACATTTAAATGCAGAAAACCACACAGAAAATGAAAATGAAAATTTAAATTACAGAGAAAAGATAATTGCTATAGATGAAATGTTTGCAAAAGCTTTAGAATTTTATGCTAATACAAAACCAACTGAAAGGCAATTTATACCAAAGCAGAGGTCATCAAAAAAATTAAGTAAGATAGTAGCCTATGTGAATAATATTTTGTTGCCAGAATACATTAACAGCGATATTGAATTTAAAACATTTCAGGATTTAGTATACTGTGCAGCGTGGACTTCAGCTAAGCTCAACGGAGCTAAAATTGAAATACCTGTACAAGTTGATAACCCTCTAGGAAAGGGCAAACAAAAGAAATATAATAAACCAAAGTGGGAACAAAGATTAGAATACAAAGTTAGTGAATTAAGAGCAAAGATTGCAAGACTAACACAATATATCAATGGAAACAGAGGTAATAAACTAATTAAACACGTAAATGCTATATTTGAGCAATATAAAACTCATTCCGTCCACGAAGAACATAACATTAAACACGAACACTTTTTAGACACACTTAAACAAAAACTTAAACTTACTAGTAGTCGGTTAAAAAGATATAAAGCATGCTCTCTACGAAAAAGTCAAAACAGGCTATTTTGTTCAAATGAAAAGCTTTTCTACCGAAATATAAAAAACACTGTATCAAATAAAATCAGCAACTCAAAAGATTCCGAAAATAATTTGCCCTTACCTAGAGAATTACAAAATTATTGGTCTACTAT